CCCCCCCCCCACCCTTTGCCCGCCGCTTGCTGCGCTATGCCGGACCTCGAGTTTGGCATGGGTTCCCTCGACTCAGTCCTCGAATTGATGACAGGAAGAGTATATATCTCACAGCGATGAGATATATCACTGTTTTTTTATTCTAGTTTCCTCTGATAAACAAGAATTTGTTGGAGATCTTACTTTTGTTGTGCAGCAGAAGTACTGCTGAAATTTTCACTGCACACAACAAGGGTTTGAAGAGAAAGGTGAACAAGTGTTGGATCTGAAGCTTGATCGATGGAGGAGATCATCAAGAAGTTGAACCTTGCGGAGGTGTCAACTTTGATGAAGTTGATGAAGTTGTCGGCTAATGAAAGCGCGACAAGACCATCGAAGAAGTTAGAGCTTCCGACCATCTGAAGCTTGATGGACCGAGTACCTACCTGAGTTGGTCACGACGGGTGAGATACACCCTTGCAGGGAGGAACCTGAAGGGTTACTTGACCGGAGAGAAGACAGAACCAGATGAGGACTCAGGAGGACGAGATGAGTGAAAGTCCACTCATATGTTGGTGTACATCTGGCTTCTCAACTCGTTGGTCCCGACGATCGCCGCCACGGTGGATGGCATTGAGAAGGTGAAGGACGTCTGGGAGAAGTTGAGGAGAACATATGATGGGGTGGGGAATAACCTGAGGGTGTTCCAGATTAAAGGAGAGATCGACGCCACAGTCCAGGGAGAGAGGACTGTACAGGAATATGTTACAGAGCTCGAGCGTCTGTGGCTAGACTATGATCATTTTTCCCTCCGGGCTAGCTGCAAGGACCCGGGATGTAAAGAGCGGGAGGCCTTTCTACAGGAGAGGACTATGGTGTTTCTCAAGGGATTGACATCAGAGTTCGCTCAGCGAATTGCATTACTGCTAGCTCAGCCAAAAATTCCCACGCTTGAGGAGGTTGTCTCTGCTATGATCCAGGAGGAGACTCGCATTCGGCTGCAGGCGGGAACAGGTGGACTTCCGGTGGTGAAGTCAGCATTAGCAGCCTCTAGCAATACTGGATCCAGGGGAGAGACTCGACAGTGCTACAACTGCGGTGCGGTGAGTCATCTAAGGCATGCTTGCACCAAACCACCCAAAAAAGGAGATTCGGGTGGACGTGGACAGTTCAAAGGTCGTGGTCGTGACTGTGTGGGTCAACGAGGTGGAAGAGGAGCAGGGAATCGGGCGAATCTGACGGTAGCAGAAGAAGAAGAAGCTGAGGTGGTCTTTACTGAGGAGGATCGTGCTCTCCTGACGATACTCAAGAGGAAGCAGCAAGTAGCAGGGGATGGAGACTTGAGGAGTGGGACTGAGGAGGCATCCACTTCGTTCTTCGCCAGAGGCAATACAGCTACCTATGCTCATCCGATTAAAGGTACTGATGACATACATGCTCTTTCTTCTATGTCTCCCAACAGATCATCAGAATGGATAGTCGACTCCGGTGCGTCTCGGCATGTGACAGGTAATGCTAGTGAGTTCTCATCATATACTCACTTAGCATCACCTGATAGTATTCAAACAGCTGATGATACATTTCAGCCGGTAGTTGGTAAGGGTACAGTCGATTGTACTGGTTCTGTAACTTTGTCCAATGGTTTGCATGCTCCTTCATTTCCAGTCAATCTTTTGTCCATTAGTTCTATCATCCTCCAACTAAAATGCATTGTTTCTTTTGATATCCCCAAGGTGATTTTTCAGGAGAAGAGGACAGGACGGAGACTTAGGACTGGCACATGGCGTAGTGGACTATGGTATCTGGATCGTGAAGGGCTGAATTCAGTGTTAGTGTCAGTAGTAGAGGAAGCAGGAGTAGGATCTAATATGAGTACTGAGAATGAGTTAATGCTTCATCACCAGCGTTTGGGACACTCATCATTTGGTGTTTTAAGTAGATTGTATCCTTCTTTATTTGAGAAAGCAAATAAACAGAAACTTGTGTGTGATGCATGTGAGTTTGGAAAGCTTACTAGAAGCTCTTATATTAGTTCAGGTCATAGAAGTTCTCGTGTATTTGACTTGGTACATTCAGATGTTTGGGGGCCTTATTCCACAAGTTCTATGAATGGATACAAGTATTTTGTTACATTTATTGATTGTTTCTCTCGTGTGACTTGGTTATACTTGATGAAGAATAAGAGTGAAGTATTTAGGTGCTTCCAAAACTTTCATAGGAATGTTCAAACTTAATACAGAGCAGTGGTGAAGATATTGAGGTCGGATAATGGGACAGAGTATACCAACAGAGCGTTTGAAGAATATTTGTCAGCTCAGGGAATACATCACCAGACGACCTGTCCATACACACCAGCTCAGAATGGGGTAGCGGAAAGGAAGAACAGACATCTTTTAGAGGTTGCTAGAAGCATGATGATCTCTATGAATGTCCCAGAAACATTGTGGGGGCAAGCAGTGTTGATCGCAGCAGCGCTGATCAACAGAATGCCCTCAAGAGTGCTGGATTGGAAGTCTCCGTGTGAGACATTGAAGGGAGATAATGGTGGGATTCTTCCACTTAAATGGAAGTCTCCGTGTGAGACATTGAAGGGAGATAATGGTGGGATTCTTCCACTTAAAGTGTTTGGCTGTATGTGTTTTGTGAAGGACAACAGGCCATCTGTCGGGAAACTTACCCCTAGAGCTGTGAAGTGCATCTTTGTGGGATATTCTGCTACTCAGAAGGGATATGTTTGCTGGAGCCCGGTGGAGAAAAGATTGTTTGTGAGCATGGACGTGCACTTCCGAGAACTCGAGCCATATTACACCCGGAAGGTAACTTCATCCGTTGGTAACTCGCCTAATACTGGAAGTATGAGGCGAGAGGAGGAGAATGGTGAGAGATTGGTAAATATGGAGAAATCAATGTCTAAGAATGGTGAGAGATCAGAAAAATCAATTTCTGTGACGATTCATTGGGAAGGAGACTTGGTTGAGGAGGAGCAAGAGAATGAAGAAGAAGAGGAGAATGAGACAAGAGGTGTTAGACCAACGGCTCAGGGGGAACTACTTACCTATAGTAGGAAGGGGAAACAAATTGCGGGAACAGTACCTACAGTGCCACTGGTGCCAAGTCCCTTGCTAACGCCTGCCCCGACTCCTGAGACACCTACACCACCACCAGATTTCTCTCAAGGTGATTTCATTCCTCTTCCTACTCATCCCACACCAATAACTATACGGAGGACTACTCGCAGTAATGCGGAAAATCCTCCCGATAGATATGGTTGGGATCTTGCTCAGTTTGTATCATATTCTAACATCCACCCTGCACATGGAGCATTCATTGCATCACTGGACTCTGTTACTATACCTAACAATTGGCAGGTTGCAAAGAAGGACCAGAAATGGAAAGCTGCTATGTACGAAGAGCTAAGGGCCCTTGAGAAGAACCGTACTTGGGAGTTAGTAAAACTACCAAAAGAGAAGAGAGCAGTTGGATGCAAGTGGGTCTTCACTGTGAAGCAGAATCCAGATGGACAAGTTGAGCGCTACAAAGCTCGTCTGGTGGCAAAAGGATATAGTCAGACATATGGCATCGACTACGATGAGACTTTTGCACCGGTGGCAAAGATGAGCACTGTTCGGACCTTAATCTCTCTGACAGTAAATGATGGATGGAAGCTACACCAACTAGATGTGAAAAACGCATTTCTTCATGGAGATCTAATGGAGGAGGTATACATGGAGATACCACCAGGATTCGGTACAGATCAGACAGTGGGAAAGGTCTGCAGATTGAAGAAGTCTCTCTATGGGCTAAAGCAGTCTCCTCGTGCTTGGTTTGATAGATTCAGGAGGGTTATGATTGGTATGGGGTACCAGCAGATCAGCGCCGACCATACCGTGTTCTTTCGAAGAAGTGGAGGTCACATCACCTTGCTTGTAGTATATGTGGATGATATGATTATTACAGAGGATGATGAGAAGGAGATTGTCCAACTCAAAGTGAGACTGGGTAAGGAATTCGAGATGAAAGATCTTGGCTTGCTTCGATACTTTCTTGGAATAGAGATAGCTCGAGGAGCGGAGGGGATCGTCCTATCCCAGAGAAAGTATGCACTGGATCTTCTTAAAGAAACAGGAATGTTAGGATGCAAACCTGCAACTACACCGATCGATCAGAAGTTTAAGCTGAGTGCTGAAGCTGGAGAACCAGTTGATCGTGACAGATACCAAAGACTGGTGGGCAGGTTGATCTATCTGTGTCACACACGTCCCGATATCTCTTTTGCAGTGAGCGTGGTGAGTCGCTACATGCAGATCCAAGGAAGGATCATATGGACGCGGTGTACCAGATTCTAAGGTATTTGAATAATGCCCCCGGAAAAGGGCTAATCTTCAGGAAGAATGAACACATGAGCATTGAAGGCTATTGTGACTCTGATTGGGCTAGCTGTGCTAATAACAGGAGGTCCACCTCAGGATACTGCATCTTTATAGGAGGCAACTTAGTCTCGTGGAAGAGCAAGAAGCAGTCGGTGGTGGCGAGATCGACAGCTGAGGCAGAGTATAGAGCTATGGCCTTAAGAGTTGCTGAGTTGCTATGGTTGAAGAGTATGCTGGTGGAGCTGAAGCTGGATCAAGAAGCTAAGATGAAGTTGTGGTGTGACAAGAAGTCAGCCATCAGTATCGCCAACAACCCAGTACAGCATGATAGAACCAAACACATCGAGATTGATAGGTTCTTCATCAAAGAGAAGTTGGATAGTAGACTACTGGAGCTAAGTCATGTTTCGACTAAGGACCAGGTAGCAGATTATCTGACTAAAGGACTTAGCTCAGTAGATATGATTAGAGGATATGACAAGATGGACTTAGTAGATATCTTTCACCCATCTTGAGGAGGAGTGTTGACATATTAGTATTAGTTAGGGACTTATTTGTGAGTTGTGTAGGGGCCTATATAAAGCCCAAGAGATCTCATATTGTATTAGGGTTTCTATTCACAATTGTTAGAATTCAGGAATTTTATTATTAAAAGTAAACTTCCATATCTGTAGACCGAGGATTGCTTTTGGTAAAGCATGATAAGGATTTTTTTTTCCCTTCATATTTTTAGACAACTTGTTAAAATTAAACTACGCAAATGAACAAACAAGAAAGAAAGAGAAGAAAGGGAACTCTATATAAGAAGTAATTCACTAAAGAAGGAAAAAAAAACCTCTAAAATAAGAATGATTTTTAGAGAACACCTAGATAACTAATTTCTGCTTCACTTTCTAAAATAGGAAGCTCATCGGGGATAGAGCGCAGCAAGGTTTTCTATATGTAGCTCATAGAGAAATTTATATCGAAAAACCTGAAAATGTATCTATTATTATCATACATATATATGATTTATATAGATAGCTACTATAGTATATATCTACTAGATTCATATATATTATATCATACTATAGAGAGAGAGAGAAGGAGAGTTGATTTTATGTCAACTTAAAGTTGAACCAAGTCTTGTCCACCAGTTTCTAATACCTCATATTATATTATAAATAAACTTTTCATCATCACAAGGATCCCTAAGAAACATGGCTGATAGAAATTTGGTGGAGCATCCAATTGAGTTGACATAAGATTGCTCTTTCTCTCTCTCTCTCTTATCCTCTCTTCATATAGTTATACTCATAATATTAGTACTATTTATATTTGTATTTGTAATATTTTATATATGAGGGGAGAGATGGTGATGAGAGAGAATTAAGGTATCCGTATAGGAGGGGTTTTCCCTTGGCTTAGAAATCCATTGATTGAGCGACATTATGGAGATCCGTCTTGCGCTTGAATCGTTACATATTCTAAAACCATACCACCAATTTTTGGTGATATGTCGCGTCGTTTGACCTCCTCGACCATGAAAAGTTCTTTTCATTTCAATACGTTAAATTGATACGAGGTGATTGATAGCAAACGACGACGGGGTCACCCCCATATCCTGGTGTTGGTGGGTTTTAGAATATGTAGATCAGTTCACGAGGGTCATCCATAATATCGCTTGATATGTGATTTTAGTGCGTCAAGGAATATCCCCTTCTAGTGCAAGTATACTCTTAATCTCATATTAGTATTTTTATTATATTATATATATTATTAGTATATAACGATTTATATATATATATATACACACACACAGTACATGTGTGTGTGTAAATGAAAATATCAGATTCTGAAATAAAAAGAAAAGGCTTCAAAATTCTCTTATTGAGAAAGGTAGAATATGGTTTTACATTGCATGTTAAAAAAATAAATTAATCAACCTGCTGGAATTATTCCAAGAGGCACCTTGATTGCACTGTCCCAATCTTCTCTTTGCAGCAATCCATTCACTACCTAGTTAAAGAAGGAAAAGAGCAGAATCAGAAAGAGGTAAAAAGTTTAAGAGAAGCAGCTGAGTTGGGCACTAGGAAGTTGTTCTATACGGAATCTGTAGAGCACATATACAAGTTGCAGGCTACATCAACAACATAAGGGCCTAAGACCCTATAATTTTTTGGAATTATCTAAAGTGTCAAGTAAGTACTAAAATATGTAGGCTAACTATGCTCGATGATGATTTCCAGCCCCCAAAAAGAAGCGCACATAGAACCAGCTGGGATTTATATAAAGCAATATAACCCACAGCATAAATTCTGAAGAACTGTAAATGGAATTTGTCTCCGCTTCATACTCATACCAAGTATTGTGCACGAAAAGATACAATGGTAGAATTCTTATGCATATCACAAATGGTTTCAGCTTCTAGTTCCTTCAAGTTTTTACTCTACAACACATTATAAAATGAGAGCATATCAAAAGGACCAAAAGGACAGGATGATAAATGAGTGCATCTTGAGAAGCTAGATATAGCTTTATTGTAGGACAAACTCAGTAAGAACCCATTGGGATGGTTTGATCATACGCATTGGAAATCATTAAGTGTGCCAATTAATATGATTTAAAATATCGCAGTTGACGGAGAAAGAACTGCTGATTAGGGAGGATACACCTTGGATAGGTACTGCCCAACACCAAGATTAAGGCAGCATGTCTTTTTCATTTTTTATTTTCCATTTTTTTGGTGAGGGAGGTGAATGCTGTTGTACTCTACCTGAAATATATACCATTGTTTATTTATTTATTTATTTATTTATTTATTTGAGCATTAGAAACCATTAAGTGCGCCAATTAAGATGATATACAGGATTGCAGTTGATGGAGAAAAAACTGCTAATTAGGGAGGATACACCTTGTGTAGGTACCGTCCAGCACAAAAATGAAGGTAGCATTGCGACATTGTCTTTTTCTATTTTTATTTTTCATTTTTCTGGCGGCTTAGGTGAATGCCATTGTATTCTACCTGAAATATATAAGTTGCTTATGCTATTCCATTATAGACTACTATTATACCTTGAAAATTACTATGTCCTTAAACTAGCCATGTGGCATACATAGGACGAAGCAGGTGGCTAACATGTCCGCCCTAGGTCTAAGTTGTAAGCAGGTCGACTCATCTGTGTGATACGAGTCCAAAGCGAAAGACGTCTCCAAGTAAAGATCTACTAGTTGATACCGGGCTGAGTCGAAAGGCGTCTTCACGTTGGATTTAGTGGGAGAGGGTCCAAAGTAAGGAATGACCAGTGGTCTTGTCAACAGTGTTCGCATTTATTGCGAAACAGTTTGGTGCTCATACTTCGCCATCTAGTTATCATCGCATTTAATGCATGGTTTGTCAGCCAGCAGCCACTATTTTTGACAATGTAAAATTTGGTGACCGAAAAGTTTGAGAAAATTAAAAGTTATGGGCCCCACCACAGGAAAAATAATATAAAATTAGTGCATAGTATTTTTCCAAACACTATAAATAGGCCCAAAACTCTTAAGGAAAAATTTATCCCAGAAACAACTCCTCTTATAGAAGAGTGAGAGAAAAAAAAATAAAGAGTTTTTCCTAATATCAAGAAGAGGGTTTGTGAGAATTTTTGGAGTGTATCTTGATCAAAAGAGGGCGTTCTCTTTGATCTAATTCTTTTGGAATATAAAAGAACTAGGCGTCGTCTTGCACAGTGGACTAGCTCCGGAAGAGTAAACCATATTATATCTATGAGTATTGTGATTGAATTTGTCTTTATTCTGTAATTCCAAAATCATTTAGGTGTGTATTACGTCTCCATTTGAGACGTTCTTATTAACGTATTCCCCAACAATTGGTATCAGAGCCTGATTTAGAGTACGTATATTTACTTATCATATGCTCTGTGGCTGCCACTAAAAGTGGATCATTCATATCAGAAAATAAGTTAGATTATCATTTACTTTTTAAAGGCATTGGACATCATTCATGAATACCGTACTATTCATAAGTATTATTACTATTCACAAATATGGTTAGAGAAAAGACAGAATCTTTCACCATGGGATCTACAGTTGAAGACAATAAGCTTCGGATTGAGAAATTCGACGGTCAAAATTTTAGGTATTGGAGGATGCAGATAGAAGACTATTTATATCAGAAAAAATCTCTTCCTACCCCTTTAAGGAGTGGAGAGGAAACCTGAGAAGATGGACGATGATAAGTGAAAAATGCTCGATCATAAAGCACTTGTTACTATTAGGCTTAACCTTCACCAGCATATGACTTATAATGTATCGCATGTGACCACCACCAAGGAGTTGATGGATGCCTTGAAGGCGCTATATGAGAAGCCGTATGCTTCAAATAAGATGTACCTAATGAAGAAGTTATTCAGTCTAAAGATGCAGCAAGAAGCTCGTGTGACGGACTTCTTGATCGAATTTCAGGCTGTGGTGCAACAGCTTGCTACAGTGGATCTCAAGTTCGACAATATGATTAAGCTCTTCTGCTAATTTCTTATCTACCAAATTCGTGGGAGAATTTGGTGATGGCAGTGAGCAACGCCAATGGCAATGATAAGATGTAGCCGACACTGTGATTGGGGCAATTCTGGATGAAAAATCTCATCGCAAAATCTCAAGAACTGAGGTCTCTAGTAGTGAGAGTGCTCTATATGTCGAGGCACGAGAGCGTGCGCAGAAGAAGGATAGGGGACGACGAGGCCGATCAAAGTCCATAGGGAAGTCTAAAGGGTCGAATTCGAATGGTTACATTGAAGGGAAGTGCTTCAGATGTGGAAAGAAGTATCACTTTACACGGGACTACAGAGCTTCGGTTCCAGCATCAACAAGGGATGATCAGGCTGACGGTGTAGCCAATCTCATGCACGAGATGGATTCGGATGCGCTTCTCCTATCTCTTGAAGACAAGAGCAATGTGTGGGTCATTGATTCTAACGCATCTTTCCATGCAACCTCACAACAAAAGCTGATTTCATCGTTCGTGAAGGACTTGAGGACAGTCTATCTTGACGATGATCAACCTTGCAAGGTTTTCAAAAAGGAAAATTATACCCTCAAGATGGAGGGCGGGACCACCTTGACACTGAACGATGTTCGGCATGTACCAGATCTCAGACAGAATCTTATATCAGTCGGGCAACTGACTGACTCTGGTTACAGAGTATCCTTCGAGCAAGGAAGCTGGCAGGTGTCCAAGGATGCCCTGGTGGTAGCACACGGCAAATACGAGAGCTCTCTCTACATCGTCAATGGGAAGATTGATCGCTTGCTTATCGCAGGACAAGCATCATCATCATCCGTCAACTATATGACTTGGCATCGTCGATTTGGCCACATGAGTGAGAAGGGGATACAGATTATGGCCACGGGAGAGAAGCTTCCGGGTCTGAGCAAGATCGATCTGACTTTCTGTGAAGACTACATCCTAGACAAACAGAAGAAGGTGAACTTTAACAAGACCGGAGCGGCTCTAAAACTGTAAAAATTAGAGTTGGTGCACACCGATGTGTGGGGACATATGCAAGTTCTATCTGTTGGCAACTCTATTTACTTTATCACTTTTATTAATGATGTTACTAGAAAACTGTGGGTGTTCTTCTTGAAGAACAAGTCAGATGTTTTTAACATCTTCAAGAAGTGGTTTGCCTGTGTGGAGAACGAAACAGGCAATTAGCTGAAGTGTCTGAAGTCTGATAATGAAGGCGAGTATTGCAGCTAGGAGTTCGAGAACTTCTGCTCCCATAAGATTAGGAGACTGAAGACCATTCCAGGCACACCTCAGCACAACGGAGTGACGGAGCGTATGAATCGCACTATCTTGGAGCACACTAGAAGTATGAGGATTCACTCCGAATTGTCCAAGAGTTTTTGGGTCGATGCAGTGAATATTGTTGCATATTTGATCAACCGCGGGCTATCCGTGACTCTTACTTATGGGATACCTAAAGATGCTTGGATCGGAAAAAAACTGAAGCGAGAGCACTTACGAGTATTTGGTTCTGACGCCTATGTCATGACCAATCCTGTAGACCAGTCAAAGCTTGATCCAAAATCAAAGAAGCTCTTTTTCATCGGCTATGGAGGAGATGAGTATGGGTACCGTTTTTGGGATCACGATACGCGCAAGGTGGTGCGCAGTCGTGATATCGTGTTTCATAGGATGCGGTGTACAAGACTAAAGAGGTGAGTGGGAGTCAGTTGTCTCCCCCTCTTTTCCTAAATATTACTGACAGTGAGGACAGCAGTAAGATACCAGTCAGCATAGAAGACGAAGGCCAAGAGAACGTGTCGGATGCACAACAGCATGATCTAGCAGAACTACCTATCACGGTTCGCAAAGCTCTAAGAAATCTGAGGGTGCCAGATATACCTTTCCACCATAAATTATCTTCTCCTGATTAACAGTGGTGAGCCAGAGAGCTATGAGGAAGTACAGCAGACCGGTAAAGTTCGGGGAGAGTGGGAGTCTGCCATGGAGGAAAAAATAAAATCATTGATAAAGAATGAGACTTAGGAGCTCGTAAAGCTTTCAAAAGGGTGAAAGACTCTTCACAATTGGTGGATTTATCGGGTCAATGATGAAACCGATGGACGGAAACGCTACAAGGCGAGACTTGTAGTGAAGAGCTATGAACAGAAAGTAGGGATTGACTATTCTGACGTTTTCGCTCTTGTCGTTAAGTTAACCATGATCCGAACTGTGTTGAGCATTGTGACAGTTTGAGATCTCTATCTAGAGCAGATGGATGTGAAGACAGCATTCCTTCATGGAGATTTGAAGGAAGGGATCTATATGCATCAACCAGTGAGCTTCGAGAAACAAGGCAAAGAGGGTCTCGTGTGTCGCCTGCGCAAGAGCTTGTATGGTCTGAAGCAAGCTCCACGATAATGGTACATGAAGTTCGAGAATTTTATGGAGGAGAACGGTTTTCTCAAATGCGGCACAGAACATTGTTGCTTCATCGAGAGATATGATGAATCCTATGTGATACACTTGATTTATGTTGATGACATGTTAATTGTAGGATCTGATTTGGCCCACATTGATAAACTTAAGGGTTGTCTCTCCGAGTGCTTTGAGATGAATGATCTGGGTCCACCAAAACAGATTCTTGGGATAAAAATCATCAGAGACAGATCAACACGGAGGCTGAGGTTGTCTTAGAAGGCATATATTGAGAAGATTCTTGAAAAGTTTGGTATAGAGAAGGCTAAATCGGTGGGCTCACCGTTTGCGAGCCATTTCAAGCTATCGAAGACCCAAGCATCAAAGACTGCTAAAGAGCATGAGTTTATAGCCAACATACCATACGCATCTGCCATCGGGAGTTTAATGTATGTGATGGTGTGTACGAGGCCAGATATTATACAAGGAGTGGGAGTTGTGAGCTGTTTCATGAGTAATCCAGGGAAGCAACACTGGGGTGCGATCAAATGGCTTCTACGCTACTTGAGGTGCTCGTCCGACTGTTGTATTGAGTATGATAGGATAGATTTACAGCTAGAGGGTTTTTGTGATGCAGACTACGCCGAGGACATAGACTCAAGAAGGAGCACGAGCGACTACATCTTTATCTTGGGTGGTGGATCGATAAGTTGGAGATCTAAATTACAGGATACTGTAGCTTTGTCGACAACCGAAGCGGGGTACGTATCTGTAACAGAGGCAGCAAAGAAGTTGCTATGGTTGAAAGCTTTTCTTCTCGAGCTTAGGGATAAACTTTGAGAAATACTTCATCCACTGCAACAGTCAGAGTGTCATTCACTTGTCAGAGAATGACGCATTCTATGCTCGGACCAAGCATGTTGACGTGAAGCACCATACCATACGAAGATGACAAAGCAGAAACGAGTTCAAGCTTGTGAAGATTGATACGAGATACAATCCAGCCGATATGCTGACCAAGTCAGTTCTGCTCGAGAATGTGAGGTTGTGTGCAGCCTCATATGACCACCGTTGAGAACGTTGAGGGTTGTGCAAGACGCAAAAGATACAAGACATCTGGATGTTACAACCAAGAATGGTGTGAAGATATGATTGATACTCAATTAAATCTTCAAGTGGGAAATTATCAGCCAGCAACCACCATTTTGGACAATGTAAAATTCGATGGCCGAAAAGTTTGAGAAAATTAAAAGTTGTAGGCCCCACCATAGGAAAAATAATATAAAATTAGTGCATAGTGTTTTCTCAAATACTATAAATAGGTCCAAAACTCTTAAGGAAAAATTCATCCCAGAAACAACTCCTCTTATAGAAAAGTGAGAGAAAGGAAAAATAAAAAGTTTTTCCTAATATCAAGGAGAGGGTTTGTGAGAATTCTTAGAGTGTATCTTGATCAAGAGAGGGTATTCTCTTTGATCTAATTCTTTTGGAATATAAAAGAACTGGGCGTCATCGTTGCACCATGGAGTGACTCCGGAAGAGTGAATCACGCTATATCTGTGAGTATTGTGATTGAATTTGTGTCTTTATTCTGTGATTCCAAAATCATTTGGGTGTATATTACGTCTCTGTTCGAGGCGTTCTTGTTGACGTATACCAACATGGTTATGCATCATAATGACTCATCAGATGATGTCCGCATTCCCATTATTCTGTCACCGTCGTATTAAATGTGAGAGTACAGCTCTCCGCCTTCGACCAATCAGTTGTGAACAGGTGCAAAACGATGACACAATGTTAGATCAACCAGTCGACCAGGTTTACCAAAATACCCTCACAAAATTCCTATAAATAGCATCATCTTTGCTACTGTAAGGTACGCACAAAAACGTTAAAAGACTACATTCCGGTTTTTTCTTCAGAGTATCAGACTAGTCACTAACTTGAGCGTCAGAGGGCAGGCCAGAGGAAACAACCTCTGAGGCTTCTAACCTCTGTTATTGTGTGCAGGAAGCTGTCGTTCAACACCTTCAAAATAATTAGTCATCATAGGAGATTAAGGGACCACAAATTCATCCTTACCCCTCTTAACCCACACACTAATTTCCCCTACATCAACGCCTACTCAATTGTATTATGATTAAAACCATTAATCATTAATCAGATGGTATATTAGACCCTCTTTTTTGACTCTATAGTCTGTAAATGAGATATTGCTATTTCTAGCATGTTCAAAGACCTTCACATAAAAAGAATGCCTTGAAGTTGAAAACATTTATGCAGCTACAATAACTTAATTAATGTCTTAAAGAATTTGAATATCTTGGAATCACTAACCTCCACCAGCACACCATCTCCACTGACGCATACGATTCCATCATATTTTAGAATATCCAGTTTATATGCAATTTCTTGAGCATGAAGCTGATATCTGGTTTCTAAAGAGAATCACAAATCACAATATCAATTAAGAGGCTATAGTAAAATGGCATGTACCTCACTATTATTGTATTTGCCGAAGCAAAACTTAAATAGATCAGTTAGCCATAATTATATATTACAAGATCACCAACCTTGCAACGTATAGATTATATCAGCAGCTGTAAGTAGGGGTTTGATTTCATTCTGGAAAATCTCTCGTGCATTTTTCTTTCCACCAAATGGGTTAAGAACAACAAACAACCTCTTTGGTCGACCTGTTCCACAGACAGACAGATTACCAGCAGAAAAAGGGTTAAACAATGCAATTCAATAAGAAAACTTTTACATCATTTAAATTCACATATGAAGACTTACAAATAAATTTTCATGCAGAATAAGCAAATGTCAACTAACCATGCCCTTTTCATGTTAGTTAGATTGTTTAGATTCCAACAAAATAAGCAAATGCCAACTACCCATGATGTCCTCTTCATGTTGGTTAGACTTACAAATAAATTACATAAAGTGCACCGAAGAAAGAAAAGTGAAAAGGAAAACAAAAGAAGGAACAGAGGATGCCGGCACTGTAGGAAATTGTTTAATGTAGTAGAATAATGTAACTACAAATTTTAAGGCACGCATGTGGTCCTGTGGAAGACAAAGACATTATTAGTATAAAATGAAGCACAGAGAGTAAAGCCATCACTAAAATTAATTAATTCCATAAAAGTGCAAGAGTTTTTGAAATGAAAAAACTCAGAGCATTTCCATCAGACCTAAGCACTAAAAACAATAAATCATTGACATTGAAAATCAAATCAATCCATGTCTCATCAATTAGTGCTATTTCGAAAATATTTGATTCCTTAGAACAAAAGAGAGTTATAATGCTACTAACCAGAAAAATAAAAAAATAAAAAAAAATCTCCAGGAATTTCCCTAGTCCAATAAGAATTTAGATTAGTAACAAGAGCATATGAGCCCTAACAAAATGGGGCTTTTGGTTTATAAAACAAAATATTACCCTCGTTTTTTTAACTCACCGACCTAAAAACCCACTCTTACACCCGAAATGCCATATCGAATAATTCTTAAAGCCAATTTATATAGTTTATCAGTTAATGTTTAAGTTGCTATATTTTGGTGAAAACCCATTGAAAAACTGATGAAACACAGAAAATTGGGTTTAACAAGAATTCAGTATGGCGTTTTGGTTTGAAATAAATGAGTGTAAAGTATAGGTTTGTGAAAAAAATAACTTTAAAAAATCATAAAATTCTAACAGACCCAAACTCAAAAGTTCCAAATGCCCAATGAAAGAAAACAAATCCTTATTATACTAATAAAGTGACTCCGTTTAAATGTAATATGCAGCCTTCAACTTCTTAAAAGTGATCATCCATTACAATTGTCAACAATCTATTCGCCCAAAAATCACTATTCACGCTACGGTAATGCTACAGTAATACATATAGCATAGTACTGATATGTTTTAGTTTTAAAGAGGTATCACTGTAGCATAGACGGGATGCTGTAGTATTACTTTAAAATACTGTAGTATTTAAAAATATTATTGTAACATTAAAAAATATATTATTGTAACATATAAAAAATATAGTTTAGCAATTAAAAACGGGGTTACTGTAGCAATAAAAAAGGGAAGGTCGTGTTTCGCGTTCACTAGTATTGTAATATTTCGTCTCGTGGGTAAAAACTAGCTCAAGAAATAAAAGATGGATAACACAAAACGAAGAATTTTACCAAAAGAGTCGAAGCAATCCTTCAACCTCTCGCTCCACAAACCCACCATCTCATCACTCTCCATCTCCAAGACGAAGTCTTTCCTCCTCCTCTTCCTATCTCCAGAGAATCCCCTAACCCTAATTCGACGCCCCTCCTCGATCCCAAACCCTAGCGCCTCCTGTTCCATCGCCAAGCTCCGCTCTCCTTCCCCCTGCCACGTCAGCACCCCGCCCGGGCTTAGGCTCGCCTCGCAATCCGACCCATTTATCCGGATCCGACCCGTTAGGGCTCCATTTTTTGTTTCTGATTTTCCCGCCATTTTCTGAGCTCCAGGAAACCAGATTGAGCTAACGAGGAGAAATGGGAAGAGAACTGAACAGAAGGTGGAGTATAAATTAGAGAGGTGGGGGGCTGAGCTGAAAATTTATTTAGGAGGGAGGGTAAAACTGTAAATAACAATTTGTTTCCACGTAGGATCCAGGAAATCAGGAATTAGGATGCTCCTGTAAGTGTTGATTAATATTTTCTTCCGTTGACCAAACGAAGGCATGAATCGTGTTTAAGTGTTGATTAATATTTTCTTCGATGTGTTAGACATATTTATCTGGATTATTTGCATATATACCCCTTATAATCCTGGGTATTTCTGAAAATACCTTTTAAATTTTAGTATTTGCAAAACTACCCCACAAATCATCAATTTTGGGGAAAAAATAACTCTCAAAATAATTAATCATCAGCTTTAATAAGCTAATTTCTAATTGCAATATAAAATTTATCAACAAAATAGTCAGCTTTTTATCACCAAGTTGTTGATTTCTTGATTTTAGGGGTATTTTTTTCAAAGTGAAAATTTGAGGGGTAGTTTTACAAATACTAATATTTGGGCCCGTGATTTTAAGGAGTACATATGCAATAACCCACTTGTTTTTTTTTAATGCTCGGATTGACTCAAATCACTTAGTTATTGTACAAATTAAACGGTAATTTAGACTATAGTGAATGTGTTGATCACGATACACGAGTGATTCTCTTTTCTACGTCCACATGTATATGCGTATATGTGTATGCATATGTATATCTCAAAAGTACCTGATTTACCTTGCACCATCAGTCCTGAAGGTGTGAATCATAACATGGCGTTTAAAATAAGTAAAAGAATACATAAATGGGAGATATTGCATGATGTATGAATATTTTCTTGGACAAATTGTTGTTTACATAGATGATCAAAACAAAGTACAAGAAAAAGAAAAACAAATACTTTATAGTTGCGGAGACGCAATGTTGCAATCGTCGCCGTAACCGACATCATGATAGCTTCCAACGAGGAGAAATAATGGGAACAATTAAGCGGCAAAAACATATTATTCTAAATATAATCCATACAAAGGGTCGCTTTCATCGTGTGAAGATAATCTATATCTATACTATCTATAAATCTATATCTATATCTATATCAATATCAATACTATCTATAAAAGAGAGAATGAGTGTCAAAACTTTTGAATGCCTACTTTACCCTTTACAATGTTTATAATTCCCATAAAATCCAATGCAATCCTATTTTGATTTAAATTAAATTAATTAATTTAATTAAAATAATTAATATATATTAAATGAAATAAGATCAATTAAAACCCTTATTTCTTTGTCACTTTGTCTTAATCGCTTCTTCTGCAAACTGACCATCTATTTATTCTAGGCTCTCTCTAAACCGTTCTCCTTATCCATGTGGCATTAAAATTAATCTGCCCGCCTCTCTTCTCTCTCTATTTCTCTCTATATATCTCATTATCCCTATGGCGTCAAAATCTGTCCGCCTCTTTCCCCTCTCTATTTCTCTCTATATCTCTCTCAACCTGATCGACTCTCTTCCTACAACATCTCTTTGTAAAAGCTATAAATCATGAGACGGATCAACTCCCATGATTTGCAACTCAGCCTACTCAATTCCTCTCTCTCTCTCTCTCTCTCCCTCTCTCTCTCTCTCTCTCTCTCTCTCTCTCACACACACACACACATAATCCAATCTTTTTTATCTATCTTATTACACTGTGTAATCAAATAATTACCACTAATTGCAATGGCTATTCAAATTCCATCTTACTCGACTCCAAATTAAATGAAAATATTATTTTCACAACTCCCATTGCTTGTATAAATTTGTTCTTTGTTGGAATATGATGGAGAAAAAAAATCAAATTTCTTCATTGTAAGTATTGATTTTAAAATTTTTTTTTCTCATTCTGATTATTCTAATTTCTTATGTAGTTTTCCCATTGAAATTATTCTTTATTTTAGTTAATATGTTTTTAATTTTCTTATTCTTTTAATGTAGTGATGATTACAGGGATTTCTGTTTGGTAGGAGAACCCATCTATCAAGGTAACAGAGCACTTTTTTTCAATAGCTCCAATTTAAGGTATTTTCTACAAGAATAAAGTAAGTATGAAGCCTATCAAGAACTTTATTAGGAGCATCAATAATACAATTAGGATGATAATGAGATTAATACCTCCCTTTTTGCTATGTTTACTTATTAGTCAATTAGAAAATCTTGTCTAACTCAGGTTATCATCTGAGGAAAAAAAAATATAAAATTTGTTCTTTAGTTTGTTAGCGGCTTAAGTAGAATTGCAATTTCTAGAAGTTTTTCCATATGGATTTTCTAAAGGTTTAAACTCTAGCTCTATTCCTAATATTCATTAATTTGCCTAATTTATTAGGAGGTTAGAAGATAAGTAAAAGTAGAAAAGAAGTTTCTTTGGAGAGAGTGGCTAACTAGAATCATACGTTTTACTAAGCTTTATGAATTTTTGGAGATTAGGATGTTATTAGGAATAGGAGATTGATATTGTGTTGGAGAAAATGAATGATTGTTTGTAAGTTATATTATTGAATTTAGTTTGAGTGCATTAATGGAATGAATCTAACACTTTTCTATCATAATTTCCTAACTATTTGAGCAAATGTTTTTTAAGTTGTTGTAGTTATTATTATTTGCGTTGATGGAATGTTATTTTTTTAATTTATAAGATGGATAATTTGCAAGAACTTTTCTATCACAATTTCTTTTTATTACAAATTGTCAGTAAGATGATGCCAATATTTCTAAGCCAATCCTAGCCTTAAGTGTTTGCGTCGAAAATTATTGTATTCATTGTGGTATTCATTACAACTTTAGTCGTTACAATGAAAACAAAAAAAGATAATCTTTTTATAAGATTTTTACACAATGAAAACAAAAGTTACAACTCTCGTCAAAACAAACGCAGAGATCGTTTATCGGTCTTCTGCTTGCGTGGGATCTTTGCCTGTGCCGGGGTTTATCCGTGGACCGCCTTAGATCTGGATCCGGTTGATGGAAAATTCGACAGAGCTTCGCCTTCGCCGAGGAAGTATTTGATTTGAAGCGCTGAAATCGACCAAGCGAAATCAGGGCTCTTCTCGAGATTAAGACCAAGCCTAATCTCAAGGGACGGACGGGAACGGGCGTCGGATCTCTCGAACTCTCCTTCTTTATGCCGAAGAACTCGCCAAGATTTGTCAACCCTCGCTGAAATTCGTGCTCCTTTGACTCCACAATCCGGCAGCACCTCCTCGTCTTGATAATCAATCGCCCCTGCTGAAAGGAGGCCCTAGGCTTGTATTTATAGGGCTTCAGAAGCGGTTATTTGGATGAGAACAAGTGATTTGGCTCTATCTTCAGTTGACAACAGCCTAACCACGTTTGGGGATGATCTCAAGCCAGTTAAGAACCTCTGGAACTGAAAAGATCTTGAGAAAACTGTTAAAACCGTCGAAATACACATCAGGGGGTCAAAACAGCGCGGCAGACCGGTCCGACCCGCGCTTGCGCGGGTCGGATCAGTCCGACCCGCGCTTGCCCCGCGCTCGCGCGGGTCGGTTTGTTCCGTCCCGCGCTCGCGCAGGTCAGTTTGTTCTGTCATGCGCTCGCGCAGGTTTGTTGATTTTTTCTTCTTTTCCGTTCTCTTTCTTTGAGACTTGTCCTTTCGCGTGTTTGGTTCGCTTCGTTGATTTATATGCTTTGAGTTGATTGACGCGTGCGTGTTGATTGACGCATGCGAGCTGATTGGCGCGCGCGAGCTGACTGTCAAGCGCGCAGGTCACTTGATTCGCCGTTTTGCTTCAGGCGCTTGTCGGCGTCAGATAATCCTCTTAGACTCGGATAACAATGTCCGTCGTCTTCTCTCTGTCTCGAGCTGTGTGTGGATACCTATAGGTATTTTTAGACGCCTACATTAAGCGGAGCAATTTTTTTCGTTCTACTTTTTACTAGGAAGTAGAGTAAGGAGGGATAGGGTTCAATTTAAAAATATTTCCTAATCAAAATTGTGACACATAAAACACGCATGCCCACATGGATAAACAGAGGCATAATATGACCATAAGCTCACATAAGGTCTTCCTATTTTCTGTTTCTTTGATGTACGGTTCTTTGGTGAATTTGGCAATTTTATGTGATTTAATGAAGACCAAGGTTACATATTTTATGAGTATCAAAATGTGTTAATAGGAGAAATTGTGTTAGCAATCACATTGTGAATAGGTTTATTGTGACACCATTCATCAGTAATATTCCTGACATTGCTTTTGTTAATTTTGATTCAACTTCTTAAACTGTTGGATGTTACATTTTCAAAATAGTCCCTTTACATACAATTCTCTTCGCTTGCCCACTTTATATATGCTAAATTAAACAATGGAGTATATATATGAGATATTATTCTCAACTATATTATTCATTATCATGTATTTTTGCTTTATATAGATATGGAGTTTGAATTTGCTACTATAAACTCATGATCAGTTTATACTCTAAAATATTATTTTGTAAATTTTTTTTACTAGAAATTGTGAAATATACCAAGTAAAGAGTTTATATTGTATTAGGTAATATATATGAGTACCAGTATAAATGTTCTTTGTCCTTTAGTTGTCTAGTTCAAATAATAAATGACAACTTTTATATTTGGATTTTTAGCAAGTAGTTTTCTTAATAGAATTACTTTGAATCTTTATAGTGTAAAATAGTTGTCCTCTAACCAGTACAATTCTATTGCATGATCAGCTTAGGAGATTCCTTTTATTTGACAACTTAATTTAGATTAATTTAGAGAGTCATCAATTGATAGTTCCATGGGGCAAAAAGGTTAGAGTTAAATTCACCAGCTTATGGTTCACAACTCATGTGAGTTTATATGAGGTACTTTGTATTTTCCCAAATCCGTTAATCTCGTATTATTTTGAATCTCTAATGAAATGATAAAAATCAAGATTGCTAAGTTTACCAGCCAGAACACTTATGAAAAGCCATCATAATTGCTTATCTTTGTCCTTTTGAGTAGTTGATACAAACTCGGCTTATGAAATTGATGGATTTTGTAAGTTTTTGATCATAATTTTATGTATAAATTATAAATGATTGAAAAGGTTTAAATTTGTGTTATACCTATTTTGATCATAATTTTTGTTTCTTGTTCCAGTTTGTAGATTCTTAAGTTTGTATGGGTAATTAAAACCTTATCGACTTAGTTAAATCTTTATATCTTTGCCTTTTAGTCTCTTTAACATTTTTTCGCAAATATAATAAAAATCCTATTTAAAACATTGACTAATAATTTCAGGTTAAACATAGTGTGAGATGACACATGGGTGAACTTGCAATCCAAATGGTTTTATTCTATAGGAAGGTTTATGACAATAATCATCCATGCTTGGGGATAGATCAAAGGTAAATATAGTACATTTTCTGCTCAAACTTAACAATTTCTTTAAACATTTTTTATAGTTTTTTATTTCATTTTATTCTTATGATGCACATTTTCTCACCAATTTAATGATATTTAAAAAAAAGGTATAATGATCTATAATGGCCTTATGGATGAAAGTTAATCAATTTAGTAGTAGCGTCAACTCTAAGGAATGGGTGTACCTGCAAGGTGTGTTTTCCTTGATGATCTTTTTCTTACTTAATGTGGCTGATTCTTTTAGTTCACACTCTCTGCTATGATCAAGTTATACAAACGAATAAACAAGAGATAGTTATCATGTATATGGATCTATGAATACATCATGCTTTGAATGAATTCGAGTTGATAGTTATCATGTATATGGATCTATGAATACATCATGCTTTGAATGAATTCGAGTTTGTTTATATTTTAATCCTTACTAAAGTATATGGATCTATGAATACATCATGCTTTGAATGAATTCGAGTTTGTTTATATTTTAATCCTTACTAAAGTCCTGCTAAATATAAGTTTGGATTATTTTTTTCAATCCTGGATCTATTTTGGTTTGATTTATTGAGCATATGATTTCGTGAGCTATATTGCACCTATGTTGAATTTAATAAACATTGCTTACTACTTGTTCCAAATTGGACTACCGATAAATTATTGTCTATGTCACTCTTTTTATTTCTCTCTAACATCACTTAAGTTGGAATAAATAAGGAGAAATTCAAAGCAATTTATAAGGACGAATCTAAAACATTTTTTGTACCATCCTAATAAATGCTCTTTCTGTTTTCAACTATGGATGCTTTTCATAGGGAAAAAATGTATTTTCCATTGATTTCCATTAGAAACAACAAGGATCAGATCTAAAGCAAAGAGTTACTGAAACTTCTGCGTCTGCATCTAAGGCCAATGTCAAAATCAATACAACTTTAACTTGTGGATTTCAAACATGCAGATGTGTATATGATTCAAACAAAATGTGTAATCTGCAATACGACACATTTTTAAATTATTGGAGATAGCTAATTGTCTTAAAGTCCCTTCCACCACATGAAAACTTTAAAATTATAAGGGGTGTTAAGAATTTTCATACTAAAATTCTCTCATATGCCAGGCTTTCTTTCACTGAATTGAACTTTAGGTATTTTATGCAGTGGTACATCTTTTATAAATTCATTTTAAATGCAAGTTTGATATTTTTTAAAAATATAACTTGCTCGGTTGAAGTGAGAGTTAGGAGTTATAATTTCATATTCTTATAAAATGTTATGTTAATATATTTAGGATGATGGGCTGTTGAGATCAAGGAGGCGCCAAGTGTGAGGATGATCAACATGAGCTGACAAGGAGTTACTTTTCTTATTTATAACCCCTTGAAGTGTTTTTTTCCTTCTTTTTATAGGATGACGAAGTGATGAATGGATATTGCTTGCCTTCTGCTACACATTATGATTTGTTCAGGGGTTCCAAATTATGCGTTGTCATTAATTTGGCATATGAAGCTTCAAGTTTCTATGTTACCTGGAATCCTAACACCTTCACTTTTATCTTTGTTTTCCAAAGTTTTCTTTTATTTTCATCATTTTCTCCTCCTTTTACCAATAGAGTTGCAATTATGTTTGCTTTCAACAAGAAGGTCTAAATGATGATGTAACTGATATCATTACTGTCTTTCTTACTTTTGCGATTTATTTGATTTAAACGTGTTTAGTAGATGTTATTTGGAAATGTATATTATTAGTATTTGTTCTATATGGGCTATATGTTCAATAAATAGTCTTAAAAATGGTGCGCAAAATATGATTTGACCTTCAAATGCCTCACTTTTTATAGTTTCTTAACATGCATCACGTGCAACGCGCGTATTGCATACTAGTCAATAAATAAAACAAAGCATCAAATTGTGTAAGTAAGGGTTAACTCCAAAAAAAAAAAAAGAAGCAGCAGCATAGCGCGTAACTTATATGTACTGGCCCACGAGTCCAGCCCAGTTAACATTTCAGTTGAATTAAAGAAAGCCCAGTGATGTCCCTATACGTCGCTCCCCCGCTACCACGTGAGATACACGTGCTCTTGCTCCAGCCAGGCCATCCTATAAAAGCGTAACAGCAACGCGGTGCCCTAGCCCGCTTGCTCTCTCGCTCCTCATTTTGCTCACCTCCGCTTTCTCTCTCTCTCTAAAAAAGCTTGAAGAAGAATCTCGATTCCAAGTTCATTCAGGTATCAATCTCAACCTAGGGTTTCGCATTTTCTACTTCAAGTCTCGATTCTCGATTCTGACACCTTCCTGATTTAGGGTTTAAGAAAGCGAGATGTCAGACGACGAATCGAAGGAGGAGAAGGAGTTGGATCTTTCTTCCACTGATGTGGTCACTAAATACAAGAGCGCGGCTGAGATCGTTAACAGTATTAGATTTCTCCCCCTCTATTTTTCGTTCCGTTTAATTTTCATTCGAAAGGAGGCTTAAATTGTTTTTTTTAAAAAAATTATCGGGGGGCAGAGGCGCTTCAGTTGGTGTTGTCGGAATGCAAGCCGAAGGCGAAGATTGTTGACATTTGTGAGAAAGGAGACACCTTTATCAGAGAGTGAGTTTATATTTGTTATTTATTTATTTATATATTTGTGTAATTTCACTGTCAACATGGTGATTTAATTTATACCGAGACTTAATAAAAAGTAGGTGGAATATAATAAGGGTTTTTCTATAGAGCTCTATAAGAGAGGAGAGAGATAGAGCGATTATGATTGGGGAGGGGATCCCAATGCAAATTAGGTGGGCCCCCTCCTCAATCATCTCTCTCTATCTCTCTCCTCTTCTATAGAGTGCCCATGGCACTCTATAGAAAAACCCATATAATAATTAGGGAACCCTGTATCAATTCGTAGGCTGTTCCCATTATGTCACAAGATTAACGTGGCTTGTCAATTATCAGTAGATTGGGAGGGTTTGTGGTTTTTCTTGTTATATATATGTTCAGATATGTTTTGTTTTCTTTGTTTGTTTTAACGATGGTTTCTAGAAAGTCTATTGGTTTTTCTTGTTATATATATTTAGATATGTTTTGTTTTCTTTCTTTGTTTTAACAATGGTTTCTAGAAAGTCCATTTGGATGAGTTGATAATTCATTTGTCAAGCGAATATACACTCATGTAATATGCCCATTTTGTAGCACTTCTTCGCAAAAGATATGTGCTAAACTTATGTTTTCAATTATTATTAGTTTTATTACACTGTCATTGATATGGACTGCACATCTTCAATAGGTAGAAATCATAAAGATTCTAGGTTAGGGGAAATTAGTGACCCTCGACAAGAAAGATTATACGTGTGTTACTGTTTATACTTGCTTTTGTATTTTCTCTGTTTATGTGTAGATTATTGTTTGGCAATCTAGTTTTGTAAATGTGAACGTAATTTTAAGAAGCGGGATCCTATGCTTTGATTTTACTGTACCTTTTTGCTATTTCTGATTCATGTTTGTATATTTGATATGTAAAATTGTTGAAGCATTTTACTAGTTCATATATTCTGAATGTTTTGATCTAGAGATGGTATGATTGCACAAGAAAGTTTATCTCGTTTTGGTATGCTGCAAAATTTGCTTCATTCTACCTTTTATTTGTGCAATAATAAGTTTATATCATGTACTGTAATGGTGTCTTCAGGCAAGCTGGAAGCATGTACAAGAATGTAAAGAAAAAGATTGAGAGGGGCATCGCTTTCCCAACTTGTATTTCTGTCAACAACATTGTATGCCATTACTCACCATTGGCCAGTGATGAGACTGTCTTGGAAGAGAATGATGTTGTGAAAATGTAAGGCTTAGTGGTCTCCCATTTCTTAATTTGAACAGTTTAAGGATTGTAAGAATATTTATAGCTTCCTTTCGATTGCAGTGACATGGGGTGTCATATAGATGGTTTTATTGCGGTTGTCGCACACACTCACGTACTTCAAGAAGGACCTGTGACTGGGAGAGCAGCGGATGTGATTGCAGCAGCCAACACTGCTTCAGAGGTTGCCCTGAGGCTTGTGAGACCTGGAAAGAAGGTGCATGAAATATAATCTCTTTTGTTGTGAACTATTACCTAGATATTATAGTTATTTGATCTCTTAGTTAGGTATCTTGAAGTAAAATTATGCCTTCAGTGTGAATGTTCAGAGACTGATGTTGTCTCTTGAAGATTATCTCATGGATTTGTTTAGTTCTTAGGGATATCACTTGTTAATTGTACTAGGCAACGCTGTTTGAGCAAGCATATCAGGAATGAGTTGGATGGATGTGCTATTTTATGTTTATTACTTCTTCTATTGTTGCTAATGACCTGCTTGTATTTGGTGACTGATGCACGTGGATATGAACAATTTAAGATCATTAACATTGATACTTGAACTGGGATTTTGAAATCACAAGATACTGAAATCCTTTATGCAATTGAGGAGTGTGGTCCGAAACTTCTTTCTCGAATTTCATTTGTGTTTAACCAGCATCATTTGCCTAAGATCTATAGTGTTTTCTATATCTTTGTTTGTAGTTCACATAAGAATCAACTTCTTTTTTCTTTTTCCCATCATTTTGTTGGATGAATGTTTTCCTTATTTTTGCTTCATTTTTGGTTTTGCATGACATGAATTCTCTAAATGATGAACTTTTGTCTTTTAGCTATGGAGTAATATCCAAATGAAGCTGTTGTCATAGTTACTCTGATAGAGATTCATGTTTTTGTGCAATTTTCTCCTTTTGATAATTTTTTATGCAGAAAGATTTTAAGCCTTACATTAGTTTGGAGTTCTTGATTGTGGATGTTCTTGATTACAAAATTATTGAATTTATGATTACTTTCCATCACTGTTATAAATAGCGGTAAATAGTCCCGCAATAGCGGCGCTAATAGCGTTAGTGGTCCCTTCCTGCTATACTATCGCCTAATAGCGACGACATTGCGGAATATACGCTTTCCGTTCACAAAAACGGCCAATAGTGTGCCATAACGGTTAATAGTGGGTGATTGCATGTGAAATTCGTTTTTTGATTGCTATTTAAAAGCGGTTTGAGGTTTATTTTTTTTAAAATTAAACCCGACCCTTAATCATTGCATTTCACCGTCTCCTGTGATTTTCGACATACTCCCGCCACCTCTCATAGTCTCTGACACCTACCTCATTACTTCCTCTCATCTCCTTCATCTCCTTCATTGTGAGCGCCTCTTAGGACAGTCCTCTCACCGCTCAGCTCTTCTTCTCGGAGACGATGACTCTTTGACTCCTCCAGCCAACTTCGGTATTACGTGATGGTTACATGCCTATTTCATGTATAGGATCTCTTTAAATCATCAAATATGTACTTTTAGATTTTTTAGATTTTTATTTAATCTTTTTTTTAGTATTTATACATATCTAAATTAGACCGCTATTTGACTTTGTGTTTTTTACTGTTATTTTGCCGCAATAGCCCCAAATAGCCTTAGCAATGTCTCACCGCTATGCGACGCTATCCGCTATCGATAACCTTGTTTTCCATATACTTATATTTTCGTGAACAAATTCAGTATTTTAGAAAGCACCAGGCGCCAGATATAGCGCCTAGCTGGAGCATAAGCACAAGTAGGTGGTTTTTTAAGTACCCCTAGAGGAAGGATTTTTTTTTCAAAGATTTAAAATTCTATCCTCAACGTTTTATCTGAGATGAACATGGATTGAGTTCTTGTGTATTCATTTTAACCTGATTTGTTCTCTTCATCATTGTTATGCTTGGCACTAAGTATCTTTTTTGACGCTGTGGATCCACGTAAATGTCCCATGTTTGCTCGACGCGCTCTCAAGAATTAAGCGGGCGATCTAGGTACCGCTTAGGCCTAGGTGGGCACCTAGGCAAGAGCCTAAACCACTTTTTAAACCAATGAACAAACTTCTGATTGGAAGATGCCCGTGAATTAGGAATCCCTTTTGAAAATTATTTTGGTTTTACATGCATGAACTCTCTATATGATGAAATTTGTCATTTAGCTATGGATTACTATCCAGATGAAGCTCTTGTCATAGTTACTCTGATAGAGAATCATGCTTTTTCCTTAATTTCTCTACCACATTCTTTACTCTTTGTATTTGCATAAATTTTGTGTAGAACATCAATAACTTTTCTACATTATGCAAATATACCTTCAAACTTATGTTAGATATAAGCACCTTTTCTTTGCTTTGTTATTACTCAAAACTTATCGTGGTTGAACTGGCATCATTGCCCTCAGCGAGGAACATTATAGTTCTTCTGAGTGATGAGTAATGATTTGAAGCTATGGAAGAAATTCCACATGAAGCTCATGTCATAGTTACTCTGACAGGTTTGCATTTCCTGAGGCACACTTTCTCCCAACCCACACCCCCCCCAAGGAAAAGACACTTCCATTTTCTTAGGACCTAAAGCAACATGGCTTTATTCTCTCTTAGGGGTTACCTCCTTTACTAAATAAGCAAGTAAAATATCTCTTTTACTGTTTCACCACGATTAAGATATATGTAGGTTGGCAAATTCCTTTACCATGTGCAAAAAAATGTTCTGTTGGAAAAACCAGCACTGGATTCTCTTGGATATTAGGGGAAGAGCAACCACAGGAGAAAAAAATGCACAATTTTTCTTGATATATTCTGTTCTTATAGGCATGAAACAAGGAAAACTTGACTAATTTAGGATCTTTGTGGCTGCAGTAGTGTATCATGAAATCTCATCATAATTCTTAGTGCTCTGATGATTAGCATTGATTTTTATTCTTGACATGCGTGCCTTGCTCTCCTATACTTTTGATTTGAAGTATTTTTATCGAAACAATCTATTTTTTATTTGAAGTTTTCTTTCTGTTCAAAACTCTTATTAAATTCAGTTTCATAAGCTGTTCTGTTTCTATTAATTCAATATTTTACTACAAGTAATATGGTCTAGTACTCTAGGTTTTATGAACTTTCATGTTCAGAAGTGCATTTGCTGTTTAAGTTTGCATAGCTGTTTTCTTATTGCTTGTTGATTAGTTAAAAACTTATGGCCACAGCTCATAGTTCCTTATTATGGCCACAGCTCATAGTTCCTTACCAGCGCAAAAGTTAGGTGCTGTTTTTTGGGTGAAATACTGAACATGAATGTGAATGTAATATGGATGTCATGATGACTATTTGCCTACATTATGCTTGGCTGCTTCTAAGATTATATTAGAGCTTATTTGTTTCCCTAGAATTGTCTTTGTAGCCAACGCCCAGTAAAACAACAATTACGTTGTAGCAGTGCACATTTCTCATAATGCTGGTTCCTTACTAACCAAGAGTTAGATGATGTGTTTTGATGAAATAGTACAGCGACTTTGCTAGGCGGCTGTTGATTTGTTGGCCTCTTTTTTCTTTTGCCTACATTTTGCTCGGCTTCTTCTAAGATTCAATTGGAACTTATTTCTTTTCCTAGCATCGGGAAATATATTTGTAGCTGACATTTCTAAATCTGACGTAACATTAATTATTTTCATTGTTGATAAAATACTAATCATATTCTTTCTTGGTTCTCCCAATTTATCTAATTCCTCATATTTTAGTTTTTGTTTCCCCTTTATTCTCACCAGTATTAAGCCCGCACGTTGCTGCGGGGATTATTTCTGTAATAGAGCCAGAAAAATTTATATTTGTGAAATGTTTAAATTCATCATTTGAACCAAAAAAAAAAGATTTGAACAATGTTTTCAAGGTTAAAAAATGTTACTTCAGCTTGAACTCCATCCATGAACAATAAATAAAGGGCCAAAAAATTCACTGTAATTTTGAATCAAGAATAGTATCTTCTGTAGCATGAATTGTAATTTTGAGGTTCTGCTTTGAAGTTAGAAGTAATAGATGTACCATATTTGTCAAAGGTGTTCGAATAACTTGGAAACTAGAGTACTATTTCCTGTTGTCTATGGTCTGAAAGATGGTCTATGGTCTGATTAAAGAGTCATCTTCTTTTACTTCAGACAATGAGTTCTCTTGGGCAGTTTCTGCAGTATAAGAACTACTAGAAGTATACAGACAGTGACCTAATATGCTTGTAGCTTCTGGAAAATATATCGACAGTAAAGTAAATGTATGTTTATTTCAGTTATATAACACTATAGCAGGATATGGAACAACTGTTATCTGCAACTCCTGATAGTTGAGTTCTTTTAGTGTTAACTATGAAACTTTTTCCTGCCATTTTTTTGTTTCCTTGGAATAGCGTATTGATTGGGTTAGTTGATTTGATCCTCTACCCTGGTAACCATTTTTAATGCTCATTATCCTTGTCTTATTTTTTTAACAGAATAAGGATGTAACTGAAGCTATCCAGAAGGTGGCTGCTGCTTATGATTGCAAAATAGTTGAAGGGGTCCTCAGTCATCAGCTAAAACAGTTTGTAATTGATGGGAACAAAGTTGTGCTTAGTGTGTCCAATCCAGAGACTAGGGTAGATGATGCGGAATTTGAGGAAAATGAAGTGTATGCAATTGACATAGTTACAAGCACAGGAGAAGGGAAGGTAATTTAAATGTCTTTTTCTGTTACTTGAAAAAGCATTGTTATTTTATTGCTAATGTTGTGCCATACTCATTTCTTGGTTCCTGATCATGGGTTGTTCCTTTTAATTCTTCAACTTGTAGCCGAAGTTGTTGGACGAAAGGCAAACCACTATTTATAAAAGAGCTGTAGACAAAAATTACCACCTAAAAATGAAGGCGTCAAGGTTTATTTTTAGTGAGATAAACCAGAAGTTTCCAATAATGCCATTTACTGCAAGGTCTGTCACCTTCACTTGTGATGTGGAACTTATGAAGTCTCAGTGTTCTATCTTATCATAAATTTCTTGTCCGCAGGGCTTTTGAGGAGAAACGTGCCCGGCTTGGGCTGGTAGAATGTGTGAACCATGATTTATTGCAACCCTATCCTGTTTTGCATGAGAAGCCAGGTAAGCCCTACACAGTTGTTTCCAAATGGATTGTTTAGACCATTATAGCATGCTAATGTAAATAATCTCAGCATTACAGAAATAACTTCTTCTATTATTCCAAGTATCTGTGTAGCCTAGTTTAATGACTCCCCTACTCATTCAGAAGTTGGTAATAAATTGTTAAACGTACAGTTGCCATTTAAAGAAATTTAATTAAGTACACAATTTGAAGTTGTTATTTTTTCTGTCAAACATGCGATTAGTAATTGTTTCACACCTTTCTCTTGTTATATCATGCACATGAGACATTCACGCTTGCAGGCCTGCTGGACTACCAAATAACTGAAACTCTCGTTTTTTCATATGACAGGTGACCTTGTTGCTCACATCAAGTTTACAGTGCTGTTAATGCCAAATGGATCAGACAGAATTACCTCTCATCCTTTGCAACAGTTGCAACCTACAAAGACCATAGATGATGATCCTGAAATTAAAGCATGGTTAGCATTGGGCATAAAGACAAAGAAAAAAGGTGGAGGGAAGAAGAAGAAAGGTTCGTTTTTATTTCATTATTCATCTCTGCCTTTGTTTTTTAAGTTCTTGTGTTCTTTAACTTAATCTTTAACCGAATAAATTTTTTTGTGGGAACTTAACCAAATAATGATATTGCAAGATGTTTGTGCACGCTATAGGACTTTCTGTTTTCTGAATCTCTTCAGTCTTTATATTGCAATGCTAGAAGCTTCTCCAATCTCTGTCCAATATAATAATAACAGGATATTACTCTATAACAACATATCAATATCTATCATACTCAATGACTGTACGTCATGAACGTACAGCTACAGTGGTTCCTTAACTGTGCCTCCCTCTCTTCAGTTTCCTGTAAACTTTAATGCCAAAACTAACTTTTTGAACTTGAACCAGACACCCAGTTCAGTTAATATTTGTTTTTGTTTGTTACATAGTTTGCTCCAGGCGTTTCTGTTTCTTACCTTGTTCGGTTTTCAATATGGAACTTCTTGAGTAAAACCAACAAACGCTCAGTACTGAAAATCACTCTCCTGCAAAAGCCATTTATTACTTCATTTGCTTTTTCGCATTGTTCACTGTAATAAAATTTTGTTTGAGAGTTCTGAAATTTCTATATGGAACTTATCTACTCCTCTATACATACAGGACTATACTTATAGGAGGACCTAAAGATCCACTATTCATGCTGTAATAAATACTACAGTGAATTACTGTAGCAATATCAACGTAGTACATAACAGAACTATACCATTTTTTTGATAAATTACTGTAGCATCCATTAGAAACCACGGTGGCATTTTAAAAAGGAATTACTGTAGAAAAAATAAAAAAAGTGGCCGGGGTGCACACTAGTGGCTGTATATACCTAAATAGTAAAAGAATAACGACTTCAGCACCTACATATTTGATTGTTGGACATTTCTATATCGAACTCATGGGCAGATGCACCTTTAAATTTACAGGCAAGAAAGCTGAGACGACTGAGGCCGAACCGATGGATGAAGCATCGAATGGCAGTGCACCTAAGGAATGAGAAGCTACAGCTTTCGTGTTATCTTTACCGCACATCTGTTATCGGTGATCCCTTGAAAACCCTCCGCCCTAAAATGAATTTCAGCCAAAAGAGATGCAAAAGTTATGCGACGAAAAATTTTATTTGACAAAACGGGGGGTACAACTTATCAAAGGTTTGCGCCTTGAAGTGCTTAGTCAGTTGCTAATTTGGAAATGAAGGGGGGAAAAGAACCTCGTCTTAGTTTACTGTGCACTGTAATATCATGCATTTTGACTCAAAAGGAGTGTCCTTGTCTGCAATTTCTCTGGGCTTTTAGTTCACTGATTAAGAATTTACTGCTCAGGACTAATTCTATATATTGATGTGAATAAGATTGTAAGAAAGAGTTCTTGTGATTATGTACATTGCACAATCTCTCTATGCCCCTTCTCAAATTATTACATCTTTGTTTCTGCCTTTTTTCCCTTGTAAATTGAAGGACAAGATTTCAGTTGGATTATATTAATCCATGAAATGAAATATACGACTAGTATGATCACATTATAGCTCTATTTCTTCGGACGTCGTTCGTTTCCCAACTTGCATTGGCATTTTATAATGTGATGGTCATGCGATATTTTATATGGCCTCATCTCTAACAAACCAAGCACAAAGTTGACTCCAGTTCCAATTACACCAATGAATAACATCAAACATTGTTGTTCCAAAAATTACTCTATTATCCCCTAAATTACACCAATGAATAACCCCCCTTACTTGATTATATCTTTTAAACTGGTGTAATACTGTCCATTAACTAGAAGCTCGATGTTATGATCATTCTCATGAAGACAGGTCATCACCACTTGCATAATCTTATCAGCTTGTTATTTATTTATTTATATTTATTTGGTAAAATAATAATTAGGTACCCCGCATGTCCATCTCCAATTTTCGACTACTGGGCACTAATATTTGTGTTATTCATCTGGATCTGGGCACTGCAATATTTGTGTTATTCATCTGAGTCTAAACTATAAAAGGGGCCGGGTTTACTTGGCTGGTATTAAAAGCCAAAGTTCTCGGTACCCAAAATATATAATAATAATAAAAAGTAAACCCCTCAAATGGAAATAAAAAAGAAATTTTAAATGCAAAAAATTCATATTACGGCACCTTCCAAGCCCGGTTTTTATTATTTATCTTGTTGTTAACTTTTAACTAGCATTCATTAGAAATTCTGCAAGAAATTAACATATATCTATGTGAAATAAATTTTTATCTACTCTCTCACTCTCCATTTCTTAACGATCAAGGGTATTCTAGACCCGTGACAACATCATAAAAAAAAAAGAAAAGAAAAGAAAATAATCACGTGCACTTTACGTGACGTTAAGCCAGCCGGCCGAAGTGCTCCTTCTTTTGGGCTGATACTAAGCCCATCAAGGCCCTATAACCCGGCCCTCCCGGCCTCATAATTGCGTATGGGTCCCACCCCATCTCTCGATGTTCCCTTTTCCCACCGGCCTTCCCTATATATAAACTCTTTTTATTTTATTAAAACCCTAGCTGTACAAACTCCACACTCATCTCCGCCTAGAGATCCCCCACACTCGCTCTTAAAACGACCAAATCCTTTGCCATGGCGAGCTCCGACGCCGATCGCAGAGACGAGGAAGAATCCCACGACACCGCCACCGCCGCCGCCAACGAGGAGGAGGACACCGGAGCTCAGATCGCCCCGATCATCAAGCTCGAGGAGGTCGCCGTCACCACCGGCGAGGAGGACGAGGAGGCCATCCTCGACCTGTAAATCTCCTCAGATCTGCCATCGATCTCATCATCCCTAGGGTTTCACGACCACTTTCTATTCTAAACTGTCTTGATTTTGTCTAGGAAAGCGAAGTTGTATCGGTTCGATAAGGAGGGGAACCAGTGGAAGGAGCGAGGTACGGGGAGCGTGAGGCTGTTGAAGCACAAGGAGACCGGAAAGGTTCGGCTGGTTATGAGGCAGGCCAAGACCCTCAAGATTTGCGCCAATCATTATGGTGAATTATTTTTTGGCTTGTTTAGGGTTTTGATTTGTTAGGGTTAGCTTGATTGAAGTTTTTGATTTGTTTGCTTTGTAGTATTTCCGACGATTAAGATGCAGGAGCATGTTGGGAATGATAAGTCTTGTGTTTGGCACGCGCCTGATTTCTCTGATGGGGAGTTGAAGGAGGAGATGTTCTGCATTCGATTTGGATCTGTTGAGAGTGAGATTCTTTGCCCCTTTATACTTTTTAATAAGTTAACGACTTTGTTTATTAACTAGTAGGTTTCAGTATTCAGTCGCCTAATGTTCCTGCATAGATCGTTATTGGTATTCATAGCATTTTGGCCTTGCATGTTTGAAATTTTCGTTTGCTGGATCTTCAAATTGTTGGGCTGCAGTTTTCGTTTTGTGCTTATGTTGAACCGAATGTGATTGTTTTTCTGAGACTTGGGTGTGTTATATAACTTTGAGCAGTTTCCGTTATGGGTTGAACCGAATGTGATTGTTTTTCTGAGACTTGGGTGTGTTATATAACTTTGAGCAGTTTCCGTTATGGTTCCACAGTTCAGAATGGCCATTTCTGAGACTTGGGTGTGTTATATAACTTTGAGCAGTTTCCGTTATGGTTCCACAGTTCAGAATGGCCATTGGAATCAATAAAGCTTCTTACTTGAGAGAGTATTATGACGTGGAGTAAGTGTATTTGCATTGCATAAGAAGTTTATCGACATTTGCTTGATCCCAATAGGGGGGAACATTATCCTTTGTTGGATGTGTCTTTTTATGGTATATGAGGTTGTTTGTCTGAGTTCTGTATTTATGAGATACTTGCAAACGCAAGTTCAGAAGCCTTTTTAGTGGTAAACATAAGAGTTGCTTTCCACCATTATTTCATCTAATTTCCATAAGATAATTATTCAATAAAAATACATGTTTTTTTTGCTTGTTAGCGTAATTATTGATTTTAAGAGTTCTGTGCATCAGGCACTTTAGGTAGTACTTTCTATCCTTTATCATGTATCCAATGAGGTAAAGAGACTATGACACAGTTCCAAATGATGACTAAGTTATTTGTTTTGCTACTTAGTTAATTGGTCCGTATGGTGAGACAGAGAGCCTAGTAATTTCTATTGTAATTGAAGGAACAATTTGTGAGGTTTTCATCAAAAGGATACATTATTCGCCATATTGTATGTCTGAACAATTAAGAAATGACATGCTGGGAAAATGACTGCAAAATGTGACATGAGAATATTAGAATGAATTAAGTGGAAACATAGTAAAAGATAGTGTAAGAAACATGTTGGAGGTAAATTGAAATTTTTTTTAGTCAGGTGAATCCCATGAATATATGCCTGCCATATTGGAGATAAAAATTTGGATGACTATTAAGGGCGGGTGTTATATTTGAGTGATGACTAAAATTTCCAGGGTAAATTAGCAAACATGATGATATAAAGATAATTTTAGAAATATGTAAGATTTGGAGGTTATATTTTTGAAAAACTCTTATCAAATTTAATGAGAATTATTTTTCAATATTCTTTTGAGGTTTAAGAGATCGTGAAGTAACATTTCTAAAGGCTTTGTATGAAAACTAGCATCTTAAAAGAATAATTAGACTATAGTTACATTGGTGACATGATAGGGGGGGCCCAACATTAAATTTTTTTGACAGGTCAATAGTACCCTTGTATAAAGCAATGTCCAATTTCTTCAAACTTTTGCTTACTCTTTGTTTTTTATAAAGTACTTTAGCCTTGTGATACACTTTCCAACTAGCATTGTCCATATTATAATTTCCATGTCACAGACATCAAAGATGCACCTGTTAAATTCTATTGCTGCTTGATCTTTGGTTTATCTTCTACCCAGCATCCACTATAAATTTATAAATCATAACCACTAAAGTAAACGAAGAATGAGTTATTGAAGTTATCTCCTTATGAGAAAACCTCATAATAATCTGGAAACTCAGTAATCAGTCCCTATCAATGCACTATTTTATCAAAGACTAAGTAGGGACATGCAAAAGTTTGAAGGAATTGAACATTCCTTTATACAAGGCTAAGGAATTATTGGAATTGTCAACGGCTTATCAAAAATTTAGATTGTGGGTAAATCGTAAGGCTCTCATCATGCGCGGCCCACATAAGTATGATTTTGTTATTTTTTGTTTTAATCTTCACAGAAGTGTATTTACAAATATTTACCATATTGTTTTGTGGCAAACCTTGTAAAAGGACGTATGAGTTGCTATAAAGGCCATGGCCTAGATAATTAAAACAATGTTTGGAAGTTTTGTAGTTGCAAATACTGTATCATAGTATTGGAATTTTAGGGAAAATTGCCTAAACTAAATTTGGCCCTACTAATAATAACTATGATTGACAAACACAGTAGATTGGACTGATGAAGTTTGTCTGTGGTGACATGTCCTGGTTGTTTAGTTTTATATATTTATGCTTCTAGCTATCTTAATTTGACATATGTTACATCACTTGCATCTATTGAATTCATCTTTTAGCTGTAAAAGTTGTGTTCTTGGACCTAAAGCTTTTGTTTCCCTGCCTGCCTTTACTCCCGTCAAGTATTCTGTTACTTGACATTTCTTTAAGATACTCGTTGACTAGGTGATCTGTATGTAGGGAGATGAACATTCTATAGCATCTCGTTAGTACTATGGAGGAGATGAAGAAACTCATTATTTCTATTTGGGTCCATTTAACAATCCTCCTTTAGACTGTTGGCCAAGAATCTTTTATTTTTAGCTTCATATTTATTGTAACCGTGCTCCTTAGATCAGGTTTTACTATGAATTGTTGTGTCCACCATGTGGATTTAAGATCACATTTTTTGCATGATCTTTTCTGATTTTGTTGGTTAATTTAATCTGAAATAGCAGTATTTCTGTCAACCATCTATGTTTAATCACTAATGGGTATTGGAATTTTTAAGTTCTTTACCCTCCCTGAGGTCTTGGCAGTCCCTTGCTACCGAGTGTGCTGGAATTTTGTAGAACATAATTGTATAAGCTAGATGCGACGTCATAAGTGAAAATGATTAGCAAATAAGGATAATGTGGCATATGCAGTATTCACTGAATTCATCAGAGTAGTAGAACTGTAGTTACTTTCTTGGATTTAAAGCTTCTAAGTGCTGTCCAGCTGGAGCTTCCGACAAATTTTCTGGTGCTAAACTGTCTCCAAGATGCTGTCTAGGTGATGAACTGGCTCTGGGGAGAACAATCTATAGCATCTCCTTAATCATATCAACATGATTCAATGGAAGTATTTGATCTTGTGAAGAAAATAATTAGTTCTATTAGGGCCTGATTGATGGTTTTTTTCTTATACCTTTGACCAATATTTCTTTTTAAGGTTGGATTCATAAGTATTCCAATGATCTTGTTTAGATCCAGTTATAGTATGACCATTTTGTCTGTTGATCAACTTTTTATTTGGATTACAGCATATGGTGCATTCTGATCTTGGTAGGTAAGAGTTGTGACTTAAAGTGGAAGTTTAAAGCATGTTGCTACTTTTTGTTTTGTTTCTGAGAATCTACTACCTGCTCAATATGTTTATGCAATTATGAAACAAATGTGCATAACATGAATAGCAGAAACATGTCTGTTACCCTGAATTCGTGGATGTACACTAAGAAATGGGATTGACAAATGAACGCAAATATCGATGGTTAGAGATTCACATAGCAGACCCCTAAAAAAATTTGGGGTAGAGACATTGTTGTTGTTGTACTACTTGTTGAATGCTTTGTTTGTATTGTATGTCACAAGAGAAACCCCAGTGAGGCTTGATTGGTTGGTGAGATTTGAAGTTCATATTTTCAGGTTTTTCACCTTGAACCTCTTCTTTTTCTGACAATTTTCCCACTCGTTATTGCATATGGACATCAATGTTACCTTAGGGGTATGGTGTCCTTTTCAGAGAAGTTGAAAGATAGACTTATCTGATTAGATAAAAACCTGAAGATCCAGTTAGACAGATTTTGTGTTAATTTCCCGCCGGAAGGATTGTTGTTTCTGATCAAAGCATAAGTGACATCCCCATTTTCGGTGGTGTGAGAACCAGACTACCTCATCTAAACATTTTCAAGGTGGTAAATATTGCTGCAAGTAGGTGTGCGAATTTCAGTTTCCTAGTGCCTGGAGAGGAAATGGGATATGTATATATGTAGCCTGACTTTGCTAGCATAGATGTGCAAATGTACATTTCATGCATGTGCACACCGACATTGCTCGGCTAAGAGTACTGTTATTTGTTTTGAGCTGGAAGGAGGTGATGCTATTTTAGTGATCAGAGCTTTTTTTAGTACAAATATGTTTTTCTTCTCATTCTTTGAGCTCAAATCCATATCACCCATTACTAACTCCTTTTCTTTGTTCGTAACCATATTTTCTCAAGTTTACAACTATAAGCATTGGATGTTGTAAGAAACCCAAATATTTGCAACTGATAACTTCAAAACTTAGAACATCGAATAATTTGTTGTGTTTAGTATTCTTTTTGTTGCTTATTTGATTCATCATGGTTTCAATAATTTTTACAGATAACAAGAAATTTATGGAAACTGTTGAAAGCATTGCTGAATCCCTTAGTAAGAGCGAAGAGAAGGAGAACACAGATGCAACAGCTGCAGCCGGTCTGCTGGAAAATTTAAACGTCCGTGAAGGTAAAAGCGATGGTAAGGTCCCAGAGGCCGCGGCTGCTGCAGCTGCAGAAGAAACGCCAAGAACTGAAGCAAGGTCTGAGGAAGCATCTTCGGCAGACAAGGCCTGATTGAATCGAAGTTTTCAGCAGAATATTGTCGGTCTGTGGCCTCACCTTCTTGCATATGATGGGTTCGTATCAGTTTCTTGGGCTTATTCAAGGTTTGGTTAGGGTTTGCAAGCGAGGAATAGTTTGTTGAGTCGGGTGGGATTTTTTTCGAGTAATGATCGAACAAGAATATGGGTTCTGGTTCAAGGGATGCATGTAGTATCTGGTTGGATTTTGTCGTGTCATCATCAACCACCGACAATTGTGATGTCTTTTATCTTTTATGATATATATACTATGTGATTCTGTTGTGTTGTATTCTTATTACCCTAAAAGATTGAACCTTGCGTTTCATTCTTATAAGATGGTTGAGTTATTCAAGGAGTAGTATATATTTCTGCATCTTTTGACGTACAACGCAGGTTCTAGTCTAAAAGTTCTTGAGTTCACTGTGTTTACCGTTGCATTGGTTTTCTTATTATTAGCATCTAGCTTTAGCATGTTGATCAGAAGTTTTAGCAACTTGTTCATGCTTTTGGTATTATGAATTTGCAGCAGATGAAGGTTATACCGAAAAGACTGAGACGTCATTGCCTTCCGATGGTCTGCATGTCTACAGATACATGAAATGTACAAATATGATGTTAGTACTTATGTTGTGACCCTTGTTTTTACACACTCGGAATCGAGTGCGCTTCTATCAGAACCCCACACCAAGCTCAGAACCGCGTTGCGGGGTTTGGGTTGCGGGGCTTGCCGCGTTGCGTGGTTTGGGTTGTGGGGTTTGGATGAGCCATGTTGATTGAAACGCTCCCACGGTGCGGAGCGGGGTTCTGACGTGCCATGTGGATTGATCGACGTGCCATGTGGATTGGAGCGGGGTTCTGACGTGCCATGTGGATTGATCGACGTGCCATGTGGATTGATGTGATTTGTATGCGAGGGGTGTTCTGATATGAGTTGTACTCCTGAGAGTCGGAGATGAAGTTTCCAGCAAATTTTCTGATATGAATTGTACTCCTCGGAGTCGGAGATGGAGTTTCAAGCAAATTTATCTTGTGGGCTGTGTTAATTGAACAAGTAGAATATCATTCCTTAATCGATCAATGGTCTGCAGTTGCATTTGAGGTTGTTCTCCATGAACCTGTGCTTACTAAACAACATTGAAGAAGTAAAAACCCTGCTAGATTTCTCCAGTCGCATATGAGGTTATTCCCTTGCATGGATCTGTGCTCAACACTTAACAACATGGAAAAAGTTACAAAAAAATCTGATATAAATCTATCATAGTGGCACGCCGATTCATTTCATTCCGTGGACGGTTCAAAGCATCTTGGTCCTGTGACGATGATGTGATAAAATTGGGTTAGGTTAAACGTAATTGAACCAATTGGGTCAGGTTGTACGAGGAATTGAGCCAATTGCAAACTATGTAGATCTTATTATCTTCTTATGATTGCATGTTAGTTTCTTTATGATGGTTTGGCTAACGGGTGGCGTAAACCCTAAATTTTAGATATAGATCTTTATCGGTTCCCAACGCCATGATCATGGGTGCACGGTAATCCAAGTGCTTATGCATACCACTAAAAAACCAATGTGATCTTTTGTACTAGCATGCATTTATTTGATGCCTTTGTAGAGAGAAAATATACAATCTTCTTTCAATGCTATTA